GATAGAGGAAGCCTTGATTCCCGGAAGCTTCCAGCTCTGTCCTTCTCTGACTCGGGGGTCCCCTTCTCCCTCCGTCCGCTCCAGGCAGATAGAGTGCATGGTATCTTGGATGACTGGTAGCCAACTTTTAAAATCCTCGACGTGACTTATAAAACTGGGAGGTAAAACAGAACCTTTAGAAAAAATAGTATGAAAACAATAAAGAACAGTAAACTGACTGGATTGTCCCACCAGACCATGACCCCAATGCTTCAAATGGAGAAAACTAGTCCCGTGGGATCTTGGGTTATATGTTAAGTAGTATTTGCATCAGTAGCTTTTCCTTGGACTATTAACTACAGGGTTGGAAGTTCAAATCTTAACAGCTGCTCCTCCAGATAATTCTGAGACTCTCAGCTCCCATCAAGACCCAGAGCAGTGGTTCCCCACCTTCCTAATGCTGTGACCCTTTAATACAGTTCCTCATGTTGTGGTGACCCCCCAACCATAACATTATTTTTGTTGCTACTTCATCACTGGAATTCTGCTACTGTTATGAGTCGGGCGACCCCTGTGAAAGGGTCGTTCGACCCCCAAAGGGGTTGAGACCCACTGGGTGAGACCTGCTGGCCTAGAGCCTTGGAAACCCTATTTGCATGGGGCCCCTGTGACTCGGAATCGCCTCTCGGGCACTAGGCTGCTTGGTTTTGTACACGAAGCCTACAGTTGTGTCCCCAGCCAGGTTAATTTAAGACAAAGTGGGTTTCATTATTATTTTGTTGTTATTAAGTGTTAGCTGTGTACAACAGTAAGCTTCTTAAAAGAAAGAAAGAAACCCAGTAAGCTTCTTAATCCTCAAAGCACAGGGTATTAAGACCTGTCAGTTGCAGGCGTTAGCCAGCCCGGCTCTGCAGTGTTCTCTGCAGAGCGGAACAAAGACGGGTCCCTCCGTCGCCGTAGATCTCTGTTCTGTGAGGCTGTTTTGCCTGGTTGGGCACAGTGGCTCTTGCCAAGAGGCCGAGGGAAACAGGTCAGCCTGCAGGATCTGTTGGCAGCTGGGGGCCTGTGCGGCGCAGCTGCCCCTGGGAGGAAGGGTTGCCCACTCGGGTCCCTCAGCCAACGGGGCTGCCAGGTTGTACTTCAAGTGAAGCCCCAGGTGGATCAAGGTCTGCTTCTCATGGTCCTGAAGGTGCTGGAGGGAGGAGCTTATCCCACCAGGGAGCGCCTGCTAGTACCGTGGCTCAGCTGTGATAGGAAGCGAGATTGTGGGGTGCCCCTCGGTACAGGGCTGAATGGCAAACAGGCCGACATTACACAATGGGTCTAAGAAATATTCTCAAGAAGGCTGGGCAGCGGCCCTGTCATTTTGTGCCCCCCTCTGCAGGGTGTGCAGAAGGTACAGTGTCTCATTCTGGGGATGAAGGAATACCGGGGTGGTGACGTGAAATTCTTCATGGGCAGGATTATGCAGGTAGGGCAGCAAGTGCCGCATGAGTGGAGGGGGTGCCCCAGGTTGGGGTGCTGTTCCTCCAGAACAGAGCCAGCCAGCCCGGGAGCAGACGGGGATTCAACCAGAAGTGGCATGGCTTCTGCGGTCTCCACCGGGCCATCTGTCTCAGCACTGCAGCCGCATTGTTGCTCCGGCAACTGAGTTTAATCAGTCTCTGCAGGGGCCACACACAGCTAGCTCACAGACGGTGTGCGGACGAAAGGGATTGTGCAGGAAGTTTGCAGGTTGCAGTGCAGGCTCGGGATGTGCTCGGGATTCAGTGTTTCATCAGGACATGTGACGAAGTTCTTTCAGGGTTGCTAACAGATGCCCAAAGGACCTCCCACCCTTCCCCAAGCTTCAACAGAAGGCACTCAGCTCCCCCTCTGTGGGTCAGCTAGCTCAGCTCCCTCAATTGAGTGCCCAGAGGCACCTCACTCCACAAGCCAGCCTCCTGTCCCCAAAGCACTCGCTTCGCTTGCTCTGTGGACTGGGTCGTCCACACTCGGCCTCACCTGCTGCCTCTTGGTGCTGTGGCTGTGGCTGCTGTCACCACTGCCTCCTGGAGCAAGGAGGTCCACTGAACAGGGATCTTGGGATCCAGAGGACAGGCTCTACTCCTAGGTCTTGCCAATAGTGAGATTCCCCCTTCCTGCAACCCCTGGGAGTCAGAGTGTTAGGTTTCTCGGTTCTGGGCTTCGCAGGAGAAAGAATTCACGCCCAACCCTGGTTTGTGATCCAAGTGGGTTTTTATAAAGGACGGAAGAAGTTTCAGGTTCTACAGTCACCGAACATGGGCAACCTCACGGGACTGCACACCCACGCATGGTAGCCTGAGGCCAGAGAGACCGCGGCACGGCCAGAGGGCACAGAACAGCAGCTCTGTGGGAGAAAGGGGAGGCTTTCTACTCCCAGAAACTGACAGCCGCGGAGCCCCCCAGGGGTGGTTCTGCTCTGTCTGTCCTGCAGGGTTGGTGTTGGAATTGGGTAAAGAAGGAGGGAGTGGGGGGCCTCTCTGAGCACAGCGTGGCCTTGGCTGGTGTGGCACTGGCTCCTCCTCCACTCTTGCAGTGCCAGAGGCCGTCAGAGCAGCCCCGGGCTGTGTTTTTGGCAGCTGGTACCCTGCCGACTGGCTTTGACCAGAGTTCTTGGTCCTGAGATCAGACCCGCAGTCCGGCTCAGAATGTGAGTTAGCAGGATAGCCATCCGTCCGTCCAGCCGGCGACTGCAGCCTGTGCAGAGCGGAGGGGTGTGTGGCGCAGCGGCGAAGCGCTCGGCGGCAACACAAGGCCTGGTGGTTCTCGAGTCCCAGCAGCTGTGCGGAGGAGGCCGCGCGGGATGGTAGAGGCCGGTGGGGGTCACCCGGTACGGCGAGCTCCTGTTGGGGTGTGTGTGATGAAGGTCCCGGTGGCTGGCCGGCGGGCTGCTCCCAGGACCCTGCCATCTGCAGTGTGGGTCAGCTCTGGGTTGCCCGGAATGTACATATGTGTGTGCAGGCATGCGCGCACCTAGTGCAGCTCTCACTTGCTAAGCCAAGCCTTGAGTGGAAGGCCAGGCAGCTGGGCCGCACCACTCTTGGTGGGGGTGGGGTGGGTTTACTTGAGTCGAGTGCTTTATCCAACCTGACTCAGTGGCTCTGCCTAGCTACCAGGTCCAGGGCCCGTGGTGTCCTCTCCTCACAGAGCTGGATATGACCTTACAGCCCCTTAGAGGGGGCTTGGCCCCACCCGGCTCCCTGTTGGCCCCTCTGTAGTCTTAAGCACCCCAGCAGCTTCCTGCTCTGTCCTCCGGCTCTGTGTCCGATGGGCTTGTGGGCAGAATGGGCCTGGCGGGCCCCAGGCCCTCCTACTTCCCAAAGCCACGTGCAGTCCTGCAGGGGCCAAAGACTCACCCCCTATTGCTAAGTGGCCCAGGGGAGAGCCCAGCCAGGGATTTGAGAGGCCCTTGAAGGTTGTCTACCAAGTAAAATGTGAGCCCCCTGCTGGGTGGTGCCAGAATAGATAGCCCGGTGCTTTAAAGACAGTGGGCTTCTAGGGGAGCCTGTGGGGGCCTGTGTTAATACTGCTGCCTAGTTTGTTGGCTGGGAGATGCAGCCCTAGCCC